CCGGAAAAAGTATTTGCCGGTTGTTGAGGAAAATGTGGGGAAATCTGATTCGCCATACCTCGAACGCATCGTACGCTGCACATGCTGACCACATGTAGTCGCACCGCTCTTCGGGAAATGCCGTCGCCACTTTCACTTTCGTGCACAGGGGTCTGATGTCTAGATGGGCTCCACTCATTTTCTTCTCACCGAGGTCGCTCAAGCGTGATGGATTCTCTTCTGAGTGTTTTCGACTACAGCTTATTCACGTGAGGACTGCAGCTGTATGTCTTGGGCCTCTATCCAGCTTTCTCATTTTCCTTTAGTTATAAAATAAAATTCTTAATTATAATAAACCGTTACTTCAATCATTGCACTGACTCGTCTGCCTTATTTGTGAATTCCCGTCTAACTATTAATTCAAGAGATAACTCCCACCTATCCTTTATTGATAGATCTATCAAATTATACACATTCTTTATGATGTTCCATAAGCACATGTAACTTTAAAGTTATCGATATGTTTGTTGCAAGTAAAGAATTGACAGATAGTTCTTTCAGTAATATATATTGTTCATTGCTTTAAAAGCAGCTATATAAGGAATCAAACTTAAGTAGCCTAAAAATTTATAAATGTCCCAATGAAGGAGTTGATCAGGATATTGTAACAGTTTTCTGAATCCATTTTCTTCAAAAATTTTTCCGTAATAATTCTTGAATACTATCTTTACCTTAACAAACCAAAGTAACACAGTTTCTCTTCCAACTAGTGGTACAAAACCATTCCAGAAAAGGTGATTCACAAAACCTTGCACTAATTTTTACACCATTGGCCACATAAGGTATACATTTTGTGATCTATCAACGACCTGTACTGATTACTAATCGACATTGGCTCAGCTTACAACCTTTATTTACTGTGACCGATCAAACTTAACGAACTTATTCCAGAGTACAGGTAAGTATTGTAAGCATAAATACAAGGTATTCCTACTATTCGAAATAGCCTTATACTATTGTATTTAAAAGTTTCAATCATCTACCTATTAATATTATTAATATTAGAATATTACTGCTTATTTATTAATATTACAAAAAATTTTGCACTATATAATTCTTATCATAAAAAGATAATTTAATAAAATTAATATATATTAATTATTATGTTTTGAACTTTTCGGACCTACTTTTTTGGATTCTGTAGGTCTAAAATAGGGTAGAACCATCATCCATTCCTTGCCACAATTTCGTAAAACATTCAAGCCTCAAGCGATCACAGTGTGATTTCGTAAAATAGTAATCTTGAAAAAAGCATCGTTATTTTTTAGCAAAATAATTGTACTAAAAATCTCATAACATTTTTCTTTGTTTAATAAATGGCAAAAGGCAAAAAATATTGATTCCCTCTTAAAACATCAAAAAGACTAGATATCTGCCTATTCAGACATTTACTGTTCCTTGAAGCAGTATTAAACTCTGAAAATATTTATATGATCGTTACATAAATTATACAAATTGTCTTTAGTATCACATATAAACAGAAATGGCAATAAAATAGTCAAATTAACAAATATTCTGCTACTAATTACATTAGTTGTATACTATTTCGAAAAACGAGAAAATCTCCAAGCATTAAAAATTAATTTTATTTATGTTTCAGTATTTACGAAGAAATACGTTGGAAATCAATATCAATTAATGCTTTGGAATGACAACTAGGAAATTCATAATATACTAAATAAATCTAGATAGACTGAGTTCAATTAAAAAAACTTATTGTTTGTTCAAAAATGAAATTTGTTATTCACATCGACTTTAGGAAAGTTGAGTATTTATATACTTTGGATTTCCATTAAGTGGAAGGAGAATTGGTTAAAATCAGAATCAGACAAATATCGGTAAATTATTAAATAATCATGAGCTAGCTATGTAAATATGTACATGTCTATAAAATATTTAGATTTAAAATCTTTGGTTCAACCAATAATGATATAGTTGAATGATCAAATTTTACTTATTTAGAAATTAATCTTTCCATTTTCAATTGATATGTGGTGAATACGTAATACTTCATTAAAAAATTTTCTTGATTGGATCGACGTTATAGCTCATTGATAAAATAATCAACTCAAAATAGAAATGACATATATTAATTGTAAATATAAAGTTTCCTATTACACAAGTTCTAAACTTTCTAATAAATATAATAATATATTCTTGAAAATTGTAATTGAAAAATCATTCCTCATAAATTAAAAAACACTAATACAAATTTTCTATACGATCTTTTAATAAGTCATAATTTTTGAAAATAATATATTTCCACTGAGAACCATATAAAAACTATTAAATCATTTTTAGCTGGGTACAACAAAATTCTAATTACTTTTGTCAACGTTAGTTGGAAACCGTGTTATCAAATACGTATTAAGGACGCTGCCTAGTTTTTAAAAGTAATAATAATTTTTGTCATAAGAATTATTTTCTAAATGTATTTACTATTTTTTATGTGCCTAATCTTGCTAACTCAACATGTTTGAATTAAAAATATTGCAGTATTCGTGAAAGTTTATCTTCAAGTCATGACGAAGTGTACATTTTACTCTCCGACATATTTCAAATAATTTTTACATACTGCTCTATTTCAACTATTATATAGCCTCTCAAAAAAATTAAGGTTACGAACGATTATATATAACATTCATAATTATATAAAATAATTATGAATGTTATATAATATTATGAACCATAATTTTACGTGAGCACCATTGATTCTACTTGACTATGTTTTAAATAATCGCGTTGTCATTGAAAAATTTTTTAGTCAGATAATCAAAGAATACTGAGAAATGTAATGAGTAACCACAAAATCGAATTTTACGTACAGTATATCATAAAATATTTTTCGATTAAGTATGCGTAAAAAAATTATACTCTAGCATAATTTTACGTTTACTTCTTTGAATGCAAATTTTTTGTTATAAACGAGTGAAATTACTAGCTCATATTTTTTATAAAATATGCATGTCATGTCAAAATATTCTATACGATAAATATTTGGAATACATATTTTTATCTCATATGTTTTTACCTTAATGAAACGATAAAATTACACAATATAAAAACAGTACAAAACTTGACTTGTTAGCCCTAATATCGTAATGCGCGTATGCACCCGTGGTTTAAAATATACCTTTATGCAAGAAATCTTTAGGCCATTATATAATAATTTTTCAATGAATATTATTAAGAGATTATCAACACGTTTTACTCTACTTGTAGTAATATAAATTGCTCTATATGTTTCATTTTCTGATTTCCCAAAAAAATACGAGTATATTTACTTCTTCAACACTATTATTATGAGTTATTCAAGAACTATGTTTCTGCTTAACGTTGCAGAGGTACGCTAGGTATCATTCTACATTAATCTTGGTTCGTATAGTTATGAGAAACATGCAATCAACTTTTCTACTACTTTTTGAAAAGGTACGGAAGAAGAATCTTCACATGTATTATGATAAGAATTATAATTTAAGGCAGAATTTGAACTACAAATAATCAGAGTAACAAACATATAAAAATTTCATTTCTAAAAGTTTTTATAAGTCTAGGGCTCGAATCCTTCACTTTTTGTCCAGAGGCCTGAGCTCTTACCCATTAAGCCACCGTGACTCCCTGTATTGTTATTTTCCAACTTATAAATTTGAAAATGCTAGGAATAATATTATTTGTAACTACAAAAAAAAATATAACTAGACAACGTCCTTTAAAAATTATAATAAAAATCAACTACAACTGGAACGAATTTTGGATTTTTTCAAACATTGACACCAACTAATACAGCCAGTAACTTTATTAGTTTACTTAAGTAGTCCTCAAAGCACAGGTCTATTATACAATAACACACAAGAATACTGTAGTTTTATATTTTTTTAATTTTTATTAAATTTATCTAAGAAATAGACTTATTGATTTGATTTTTTTTGTTAATGATTAACATAAAAAGGTTGCTTTTTACAATAGAAGCATTAATTTTAATAAGACTAAAATTTTGAAGTATTATGCTTAATTATTTAGAAAAAAGTCAATGGATAGAGTAAACCAGAAGCAGTTAAAATTAATATTGTTTACTGCAAGATAACACGTTTTGCTACAGCAATATAAAAAATTAATAATCAAGATAACATTTAACTATAGAACTATAGCATGTACAGTTATTTTAATTCTAAGTTTTTTATTATATTTAAAAGCGTGAAGTCACATGCAGCAACCAGAACAACATACTAGAAATTTACAAGATTATATAAAAACAATTATGTTCATAATTTATGTTATATTAACTACCAATTACCATGAGAAGTAGTCTTCAAAATATAAAGGAACTTTATGTGTCATGGTAAACTTTAATTAGAAATTTAAATTAAGGATTATGTCATAAATGTGAAAAAGGTGCTGACTTGATAAATGTTAGATGCATTATTTTAGTTATCTACAAAGAATTTCTACAAAAAGTGCAGACAGATGCATCAAAAATTTTCTTTCTTTATTTTTCAATAACCTGATCGCCAGCACCAACTTCTTCATCACTACGATTCTCGTGTACGCCTGCTGCAATATTTGGTGATTGAGCATCAAGTGCCAGTATAACGCTGCACAGCTTGTAGTCAAAACCTGTAGAAATCGACGCATATCAGCTTCAAATATATGTCCTCTAATTTTTAATTATTCCTTGTTATTTAAAGATCAAATTATCAAATTTTAGCTGCTCAGCTCTCTAGCACCATTTTTTTTATTGTGCGTTAACAAAACTATTTCAATATTCAGAGTAATAATTTAAGTAATATTTTTGTTTAATAAATCATTTATCAAACTAAACCCTGTCTTTTATTATGAATTTACGAATAAAATTGTTTTTATAATTTTTCATTTTAGGTTGCAGCAAAATGATTCGTTGCAATTGTTTTGTACAACTCTGCAACTCACAGGCTTGTGGCGCAGGCTGACAATAGGTTATGTACCTGATCACCTGCACCCACGTCGTGTTCGTCTCTGTCCACGTGTACACCGTCAGCAATATTTGGGGACTGTTGCTCGATCGCCACCAAAAGATTCAATGTACGCCAATCAAATCCTGTCATTATCATTATACGCTTACGTTATATATTCTTACTTTTAAATTCTGATGTTCACCAGATCTTTTTAATAATAGTTTGTCTGACAATGGGATTTGTTGATTTAACAATTTCCTTTTACATTATATTTTTAAATGATTTAGACAATAAATAATTACAAACTGAATTTGCTTGAGCCGAATTTCTAATATAATATGTGACTACTGTTGATTCTTTGTAAAATACATTTTATAGATATATTTCACTGAGTTGCCCCAAATTATCTTTAGAAGCTTCTTTAGAATTTTCATCAAATTTATTATAATTTTATACTTATTAATAGGAAAATATTGATCATTATAGATAAAAAGTTGTAATCATTATTGATAAAAAGTAAACAAGATAAAAATTTAATTGTTGATCAATAAATTAAAACAGAGATGGAAGATTCAGTTTATACCGTAATCTACCACCAATTTATGAAAATCATTTTGATATTGTGAAAGACAGAATCATTGAGATACGAAGCAGGTAGAACAATAATTTTACTCGAAATACTCATGCTGCATATGAAATAATTTTAAGTACTTTCGGGATGCTCAGTTTAAAAATAATTTAAAAGAATTTAAAAAAATATAACTATTTTATTTGTCATAATATTCATCAAATCATTTCAAATATTTTTATAATCTACAAATTTTTATTAAAGATTTTATGATTTTTTTTTTAAATTTGAGGCAACCCTGAATTTTATTCTTAAATTCTCTTACAATTAGATACAATATACATTCTATAAATTTAACACATGATAAATAGTTTTCTTTCGGATGACAAAAATTAAACTTTAATAACGAACGATTCTCCTAAAAAATGATTGAATTCAAAAAGTACAATTATCAAACGTGTAATTTTAAAAATTGGTATAGAATTTACATAAATAACTATTATGTATTCGATTATATATCTGTGTTGTTTATAAAAAGGGCATACCACATATTATTCTAGATAAATAATTTTTGCATTACTTAGATTTAATCTATATTATAAAAAGTTTATATGGAAAAAAACAATGAAATATTTCATTTTTTACAGGTACAACTTCAATTTATATTTTTAGGTACACATTAAAAATATGTTAAACATACATTAAATAGACGTAAAGAAAGTATTACTTATTTTCATAGACCCCTAAAAAATATGTAATACATTAAATTAGTAAATGAAAAAGTTAAAAGATTTACTGCTGATTAAATTCAATATATACTGTCTTGGAGAGCACATATATCTCGATAATCAAATAGTAGGTTACAAGCCAAAACAGCAAAAATATTGCGCAAGTCCATAACGCGTCTAAATTAACACTCGATACGAAGCTTTTATTAACACGCGCTATGAACGTACTAATATTACGAACACGGGTCGTATTTTATTTTTTTTCCCAACAGAACCAGATGCTGGTTGGGAAATGCTACTTTCAGTTCGAAAATTGTATAAAACCCGTGGCCGCGATATTAGCAAACCGATAACACGTTCTGATACCCAACCGAATCCCTCGGGTTTGCTTCAGATGTCAATTCACACGCGCTATGGACATACTAATGTCTTCGCGGCTTTTGGTTGTAATCTACTATTTGTTTATGAGAAATTGAAGTAGCTCAACTGCTATAATTATCGAACAAAAAAGATTATACAATATTGTTTACAACAATTATGTAGATTTGTAAATGTAAATAAGAAAATAGCGTTGTACGACCAAGCCAAAGTAAATATCAGCGCAGTATATAGATTTAGTAGATGTATCTACAGCGTTTTACATGGATGTAATTCTTGAAGTCACAATAACAATAACAATAACAATAACAATGACGATCAATAAGAGAGAAGTGGGGAAGTAAATAAAATTTAACACCGTATTGTTTGAATCCGAATCTACAATTAGATGTTGCTAAAATTGCGAGGAAATTTGTTTAAAATGCAGTTGCTTAAACAAACCATCAAACAATGGTTTTTTCGCAATGAATCAATTTTTTTAGAAAATATGGTTTATTTTAAGACGAAAAGACCTTTAGCAACTTTTTAATAATATAGATATTTCAAAAGTTGTAAATTTTCCAAGATCGAGTATTTAACATTTTTCGATAACTTTCAGCATTAATAACTTCTGATCAAATCAACATTTCTAAAAGTGGAGAAAACCCGCTTATTCAATAAATCCTTGTCTACAGCTTGATATAATTAAAAATTAAGAAGACAGCCTGTGTTAAATGGATAAAATACATAGCCTTGTAAAAACCGCTTTAATGAAGATATCGATATGAAACTTTATTCATCTCAAAGTACTCGGTGTGAGCTTTCATTTTCTCTGTTGGGCAATTCTTGGCTATTTCAAACAGTTTAAAACATCAAATCATCAATTTTGTTCAAAGTTGATAGGCTTGTTACCTATACAGAGGTGAACATGTGTGCAGGGTTTTAGATCACAATATTGATAAGTGGCCGACTTATCAACTGTTGAAAAAATATTGGACTTTTTTTATTAATTCGATTTCTCGGAGACTAATAAAGATATGGACATGATTCTTTTTTTAAAATACGCGGAAAGAATTTCACTTTTAAAATGTAAATACTAAAATACCAAATCATTTATTTATGCCATTGTTATAGGCAATTTTTTCAAAAAAACGACGATATCTCAAAAAACGATATTTTTTTTTTAATTTTTGCACCACGTGTTTCTTGTCATTTTTTATATAAGAAACCGTTGAGAAAATCAAGTGCCCGCTATTAGGATTAAGACAGCACTAAAATGAAACGAACCGCGCGCCAGCCGCTCGACTGGCCGCTACTCGTGCGGTTCCAACGTTGCTTGCTGCAATTGCCTTTAACGAATAAATAATTTCATATTCTATCAGTCTATATGTATTTATTTGAATAATATATTAATTAATTAATTAAATAAGTAATGTAAATGAACTATTATTATACAATCTGATATAATATTGAAATTAAACATTTGCTCTCTGCGTTTGATTGTACAAAACAATAGTTCATTTATATTACTTATATTACTATATATTACGTTATATTAAGTTGTTACGAGGTACTTCACACCTCTTATTAAATAAGATACGACGCGTGTCAGAGACACACACACGCGTGCGACCAGCGAAACCGAAAGAGAGAGCCGCTTCCCCCGAAATTATCTGAACGTGAACACGTGACCCGAGATCACAAATTCGAGGCCTCGCGGCAATCAACGAAGAAAGCTCGCGGCTTTTCGTGCGTGCGTTCGTGCTGTACGCATCGCTTCACCACTTCTGTACTCGAGCGACACGCACCGACGTAGCTAATACGACCGACACTCTCGGGGGGAGGTATCCAGCAGGCCTGCACCTAGGTTCTCGCGCGACGGGAAGCCCCTTCAGAGAAAGCGTATTCCTGGAGGTAAAGCTCTGCGCGCGAAGGTCCGAGAAACCACGGGCGACGGAACATCACTTTACTTCGGCTACCCGAGTAGCCTCCGTAAATAACACATCCTTGCTTGCTCTCTCTCTCTCTCTCTCTCTCTCTTCGCGCAAGCGATTTTAGGAGGTTACTTCCTGCGAAAGTAACTCCCGTAACCCAGCGACGGCTACTGTACTAGGCAGTTGACTGAATAAACTTCAGAGAGTACAAACTGTATTATACTCCGTACTTTATATCGACGTAAGACCTTGACCACCTCTCTCTATTTCGCCCAGACGATGACGGGAGACCTACGCCACCTCCGCGGGGTATCTGACCTCCAGTCGGATACCATTATCTGAGACTAGCCCGGAGCTAGAGCCCGACGTGGCGATAGGGTGGCCCCCCTTCTCTGGCGAAGAAGTTAAGGGCGTACAAAGGGGCTACTAGCCTTATCACACTGACGCCCAAACGTGTTAATTACAATCAAGTTGAAAAACTTCATTAAGCAGTTTTCCAAACTTTCATCTAATAAATTTATATTGCTATCATAATCTCTAGATTATCCTTCTAACGACAATAATTTTCTTCTAAAATACCAGTTCCATTTCTTTTATTACTCGTCACAAATATTTGAATAACCTTGCAAAGTTAACTTGAAAGGAGTTTTCACTGGGCTGGAGCGCGTGAATACACGTGTCGATCGCGCGACTCGAGGAATCGTTGGAAGATAGACATCATAATATAACACTCTGTATATGCAAATGAGGAAAGTAAACAGAATGACAAATACAATTCCTCGAGCGCGCGAACAACAAGTGTGATGTAACATCGTACCACATCGTTTCGGCTCCAAAACTATTTTTCTTTCGCGAAATTATTTCGTCAGATGTAAAGCGAAGCAACCAACGTGAACTCGCGGAAACGCGTGGTACGAAGTTACGCAAAACTACGTGCAAAGGAATTAAATTAGAATTTTAATCCCAAGCACGAACGAGGCGGAAAATCTATCGTACTGAAGATTGTTCAGTAATTGCCGAATCGGACGATTTATTTAGCGAAAGAATAATTGTATCAATTAAAAAAAAAAAAAAAAAAAAAGATTCGACTTGCGCGTCACCCAAAAAAAAAGAGAAACATAGAACGCGCAAGGTCAAGGTCTTACAAGACCAACGAAATTAATTTTTCCTTTTATTTAAAGTAAAATTATTTTTTTTTATCATTTTGTAATAGCGTCGGCGTGCAACGCCGATATATTCACTACTATTACCAATTATTTATAAAGGAGGAAGGCAAGGGAGGCAGTGTATCGCTCCAAGCAAAGCAGGAAGGAGAACAGCGGGCAAATGATTTCACACACACAACTCGTTGACAAACCGTTTATTACAAATGCACTACCTCGATTGCCGACGAGAGTACAAATCACTTATTACTAATAACACGCGAAACTTAGTCTAAACGAGATGACCGGCACGTTAGCGCCATGTCACCTCGTTAACCGGCTCAAACAATTACTTAAATTACACACTGCCGAAAGCTACGTCAGCTCGGAAAAGCCTGGCGTAGCAACGCGAAC